TGAATCGAAATATCCCTGCGTAGCATGCTTTGTAGAACCAATCCTCCCGTGGAAGGATGCTTGTGACACCTGTATTAACGTTTCCATTGTCACCGAATATCTCCTGGGTATGGACCCGAACCCCAGGAACGTCGGTTAGGGAATTGAGCGGACCAGGTTTCCAATCTCCGAGGTACAAATTGGGTAGAAGCTCGCGAATACGTTGTCGAGGCATGTTGTTGACGGTGGTTGTGGTAGAAACAGACATCCGATTACAATTATGAATTTCTAAGAAGTCTAAGGAGAATGATGAAAGTGTTCACAATGGCCATAATCTCGGCTCAAATAAAGTGCACAATCGCCATTTATAATTTTCTACCGTTAAATATTTACTGATCGTTCATGGCGCACGTAAAAAAGTTACCATGTCGACAGCTCTCTTGAATCCTACGAGGGGTACATGTCCATTGGAACATCTACCCCAGGATATAAGGTAGATTGTCGATGATATGATCGACCTGCCGCTTTGATACGTAGTGTATCGCAATGACCCTATTGGAGTACAAAGATGCTACAATCACAGAACGTCGTATTGAGAATCCTCCTCCGGCGTGAGTCACTTGTGCTAACCCAGGGGGCGTTAATCTAAACGTGACTTACGCTGGCACTAAACAAACACACACACACACACACCCACCACATAACTCATCTAGTACCATTGCCTGTCCGGATTTGAGAATAAGCTTAAAAGTGTTGAGGTAAAAGAAGATAATAGGATAGGATGAGATCCCTTTGAATGATAATTGATAAGATATCAACCGGCATGATATAGGCTGATCTGTGATCGTGAAATTCAAGTATGGGTATAGCCGTAGACATCACTGGGTGAATTGATATGGTCCCTTTGCGACAACGTTCTGAGCTGTGCTGATGTCCTAACAGCAGGTATACTCATCTTCAACATTGGGTGTTTCTTTAATCAATTTGTCAACGAGGGTTATTCCCCTCTACCCTACGAATTTCCTCTTTAGTGTAGGATGAGGATGAGTACTTCTCAACTAAGTAATACTGTAGAACCAGAAACCTCCCTTTAAGCCTGAGGACCAATCATAGCCTCTACCTAGTCCGTACTCCACCTTTCTAATCGTCCCAGGTTGTTGTCAGAAAAAAGGGATGACTCTCCAGTAGTACTTAAACTAAGAGTATGCCAACTGGGGTCACAGATTACCGGGTAGATGAGTGTTGGTATACCTCCACGGCCCGGACATGCAACTTGAGGCACGGGCAATAACTAGGGAGGATATCAATCAAACTCGGGCCGTGTGCGGGTACTCTTGTTCACGTTAACAGTTTGTTGGCCGATACTCTCAGCGTAGTGCGGAATCTGGGATCCCCCTTCTCGTCTGGCTTGAAAAGCGCCATGCTTTTTATTTATTTATTTTTATTTTTAAATTTTATTTTTAAATAATGACTACCTATATCTCCTTTACATAGAAAGGCCTTCTCCAACTAGATTAAAATCAGGGAGGAAAAAAAGCCCCAATGAGACTTGCTCAAGCTTCGGGAATGTATCACTCTAACGCCATCAACCACACAAGATGAAAGCTTCCGGCATAGGTTTCGTGGGGGGTTTAGCAGTTTCCGTCGTAAATTCGGAGCAACTTTAGATGACGCCAGTACCCCCTTACCTAGAGGTAACACCTAAACACATGCGAATGCTGAGGCTGAGTGAGTGTGATGCCCTATTATTACTCGTCAGACTGTTAAGTAGACACATAAGCAGCCCAATGTCGATTTTGCTGCACTCGACGTCTACTAGGGAGCCGACCACTATTTCTTCAGATCTTTGGAGTGCTGAATATCGTGAAACTATCGAAAACCTTGGTGAAAACTAAGATGTTGCTATCTTTAAGGGAAAGAATGTTGCACAACTATTCTGCGATCTTGAAGAACTCGACAAAGATATAACTAAGGAATCTGCCTTCTTAAGGGAGTTGAATTCGGGGATCATTTTCTAACATCCCAAAGACACTTGTAACGGTGTATTGGAGGCTTCTTGAATTTTACAAGGCCGTATTTAAGATTTTAAACAGGAAAGGGATGAGGCTGATTATGAATATAGTCTTGGAGAGCGCCCGTCTACCAGATATTGTCCAAGACTTCCTAAGACACCCGGAGATTCTCAAGAAGCTTGTACAAAAAGCGACGTGGGAAGTTGTTCAAGATATTCAAGCTATGATTTAAGACCAAAAAATAAGTTCTCGTATGCTCAATAGATTGGACATTGGTGACTTAGACATATGCCGCCTCTTGATCCAGGATTGCAGATTGGATCCGGATTCTGCTCTGATAAACGATGAAAAGGGGCAAATAGTTTTGAAATTTATCACTTCCAGAACGAAGAAACCAGGACGGAGATACTCCAATTCCTCTTCATGCATGCTAATACAACGACGTCGGCTGAGTGATAGCCTTACAGAACGGGGCACTGAATGAGAATATCTATAACAGGGTGGGATATTGGCATTCTTCTACCTAGCTATAGAAAGGGAGCTAAATAAAGTTAAGGCGATGCGTAGAAGACACTTTTATGACATCAAGTAATAACATTAAAAAGAATAAAAGTTGCAAAATGTTTAGACATTTGATAGCATTGATGCTGATATCTACATGCTAGGTTAAATGACTTCAATGTTAGTAACTCCGTGTCCGGGCTAGAATTCCTAGTGCGGAGACGATGGCTTACACACAGCCGTGGGAACCATTAAGCCGGTATACTCCACGGTATTTACCCCACAGTTCTTCTCCAATTTACTTACTCATAGCACTGATTCTCCAGCTTTCCCTCATCCATGTTCCTCGGTTAGATATTCATAAAAATTAGAATACAATTCGAGATCACTAACAGAGTATTGGTATCAGTGTTCCAATTATAGCCCTGTTTTAGGCACTTGACAAGGAAAATACAATCGGGCTGTAAACAAGATGGTTGCTGCGGTCCGTGTGGTACCTAGTGTGAGTCCCCTCGATTTGTTAATAGGTAATAATAAAGGGTGAGACTAAGAAAACGACAGGCCGCTTCAAGAGCACTCAGTTTACTACGAACAGTGCAATATACTCATCCACCTTCCTGCCCATGCCACTCAAATCCAGGGCACCACCATCATCATGCCAGACCACAGATTAACGCATATGCCCAGAGGGCTCATCAAAACGGCAGGCGTGGCTTTGCATCTCCCCTAGATGCATCTCAGCAGAAGGAATATGCATTTGAGATGGCTGCGTCGTCAATCAGATTTGGTCCTGGAGTAACCCAAGAAGTGGGCATGGACTTTGCAAATATGGGTGCTAAGCGTGTCTGTGTTGTCACGGACTCGACTGTCAGACGCCTTACTGCTATACAACAGGTTGAGGAGGCCCTGTCTAGGGAAGGCATTGAGTACAAAATCTTCGACAAAGTACGGGTTGAGCCCAAAGACAGCTCGTGAGTGATCATCGTCTTGAATATACCCTGAGGATTAACTAGAACTGACTGAGTGGTAGGATTAAAGAAGCCATCGACTTTGCCAAGCCGTACCGCCCTGATGCTTTCCTAGCCGTGGGCGGAGGCTCAGTCATTGATACAGCCAAGCTCATGAATCTATATACTGAATACCCTGACGCGGAATTCTTGGATTTTGTTAATGCACCTCTTGGTAATGGGCGGCCCATAGAGAAGAAGCTCAAACCACTTATCGCTGTTCCAACCACCGCCGGCACAGGGAGTGAGACGACGGGAACTGCGATCTTCGATCTCGTAGCTAAACGGGCCAAGACCGGCATCGCACACCGCAATCTAAAACCCACACTCGGAATATGTGACCCGCTGAACACCAGAACAATGCCCTCTGCTGTGAAGGCAAGCTCAGGGCTCGATGTTCTCTGTCACGCTCTTGAGTCGTGGACAGCGATTCCGTTCAATGAAAGGACTCCCCGGCCGACAAATCCTATTATTAGACCAGCGTACCAAGGCGCAAACCCGATTAGCGACATATTTTCCTTAAACGCGCTGAGGAGCACCGTAAAATATCTCCCGAGGGCTGTCAAGGACCCCGAGGACTTTGAGGCCCAGCATGAAATGTTGCTCGCGGCTACCCTCGCAGGCATTGGTTTTGGCAATGCCGGAGTTCACCTTTGCCACGGTATGTTACTCATGGCTCCCTCTCTCTTTTTTCTTTCTTTCAACTTAACATGCTTTTTATATTGACTTACACCCTACAGGAATGTCATATCCCATCTCTGGCCAAAACCCAGGCTACCAACACGCAGGCTACGAGGTGGATTCACCTATCATCCCGCATGGTGTCTCAGTTGCGGTCACTTCGCCGACAGTATTCAAGTTCACAGCGCCCTCAAATCCGGACCGTCATCTCGCGGCGGCAGAAGCGTTCGGTGTAGATACTACCAACGTAAAGCGCGAGGACGCGGGAGAGGTCTTGGCTGACGCTCTCAGGAAATTCCTGGCGGATCTTGGGGACCAGCCGAAGGGCATAAAGGACCTGGGGTTCAGCAGAGATCACATCGAGGCGCTGGTCGAAGGTACCATCCCACAGGCCAGAGTGCTTGTGCTAGCGCCCGGCTTGGCGAAGGAGCTAGAACAGGAGAAGGATCAGCTCAGGAAGCTGTTTGAGGAATCAATGGTTCATTGATGTTGGGTCGGGAGTTTTCTCAAGGTCTAGTGTGTTATATATCTGTATCTAGTCTATGAGCGATAGGTAACTTCATGCTGCGGGAAAGAAATGGAAACATGATTGACACAAGCAGGAAAAAATAGATTGAACGTGAAAATTTAATGACCCGAGTTTGCATACTTTTAAAAACAAACTTCATACTTACAGGGAGCAGTACTCGAGATACCGAAAATCTTCCTCCCCCCATATCATCCCCACTTGGGGCGAAAGACTTTTTTCGCCCTTGCGGGAATATATACACTTTTTACACCTCAATCCTCCAACCAGAACAGCTCATCCTGAGCAAGTTCGGGCCTTGTGGCCTAATGGCTATGGCGCCAGATTTCGGCCTTCAAAACGGTCATCACTCTGGAGATTCGGGGTTCGAGTCCTCGCAGGGTCGTCTCAACTTTTTGACAATTGTTTGTCCAACGAGGTAGTGGATACAATGAGTTTGTCTCCCCTTTTCCTCTTTTTTTCTCTTTCTACTTAGGTGCATTACTTTTTATTTCCCTTAAGGGATCGTCATATTTTCTCCACCTTGAGAAATGTAAGATCTCGGAAACACCCGCGGAGATACATGCCTTTTTCTTTAATTCCTGGTCTTACGAAATCCTTCAAAAGAGTATGCATACATCTATGCTAGAGAGTCGTATCTTTTCCCCTTTAACGTCGATATGATTAGCATTGCTTTTTCAGTAGACTTCTGATTGACCGATTACTCGCGTCTTGATCGTTATGATGAAATATTATATCCATAAGTTCTTCAAGCTAAGAATCAGTTCCCGGAAATCCCCGTCCCCATGGCCACTCTTTCGTAGTTGATGCTGTGTATCAAGCTATAAACCGTCCAACTGTACAAGTGTATATGTCAGCTTGCAGGAGGTTGGTTTTATTGGTAAAGAAAGTATTTACAGCGGATAAGCTGAAAACTAATCCCCTTTGAGCAACAGTTGCCTGAGACTATATGAAAATATATGTAATTGTACGGAGTTGTCAAGAGATGATCGAACCTCTAAATGGATTAGGTTGAGTCAGAACAGCTATGGACTTAGATGAGGCAACCTGGCAGCTTCAATGAAGCTTAGAAGAGCTATAGCTTAGGTTTGTCGTCCCCGCCTCTCCTATTCCTGTTGGTAAGCTTCCGACAGGCCGGAACATCCAAGTAGGTAGTTACTATACACAACCTACATACGTGTATCTCAGGTACATACCTGTCTATAACCTATAGGACCTCACTATATGTATGTACCCTATGATCTTGTCTATAGTGGTGCGGGGTGATCACGTGGAGCATGATTTCTACCAACGTATTATCTCTCAGCTTACATGCCTTGTTTGGAATCTTGCAGTGTGTTGGATTGTAACAGTGACCACTCTTGATACCCCTGGTCTATCTATACCTTCTGCTCGACCAGGGTCTCTTAAATACCTCTAACTTACACTGGTTGATGGATATGTATGTTCATATATTACGTGACCCCATGGTTCTGGGGTTAGTACCTTGATAAAACCGGTTGGGGAGGAGGAACAGTTGATTTTATTGAAAAAGCAAATAGAACGAAAAAGGGGAGAATATTTCACCATCGTCTGTAACTATCTCATAGGCTATAATATTTAACATTAAGCGCTATCCCGCTAAGCATTTACCGGAATCGGTACACATATATGGATGCGAATCCCCACAAGACGACACAGACAAGTTGGGCATTAAGCAAGCAACCAGTTGGGTAGCTTTCCTGCCAGCCAAAAGTGAGACAGAACGGCTATCTTGGCTTGTCCTCCCTCGGTCAATGGGATGCATAGATTGGCTGGATATAGATTGTGCTCTTTATAGTGGAATCAAAATTATATGGGATTATGACGCATAGACCCGAAGAATTTCGGGTGGGATTAACGACGTACCTACAACTCTCCCGCGTTTCACATGCAATAAGACAGAAAAGACCAACTCTCTAGATGAGCTTATATACATCACGTATTATGCCGAGAGCATCACTCATCCCGGTGGGTCTGCCTCGGGTTTTGTTTTGCAATCTTTACATCACCATGCTCCGCTTGTGAATCGAAGGCTTCGGCATCTAATTGCTCGAAGGGAGGTTGAAGTGAGCGAGTTTCGGACCACGACGATCACGTTGCTTTTTATTCCCTGGTTCCTGAGGGAATATCTGCAACGTCAACAAGGTCTGCCTATATTTGCATCCTGTCACCTCATCGAGCTGGCATCTGCCCAGGAAATATGACCGGCGGACACTCCGCAAGCAATGATTCGCTGCCTCAGTAATCAAACCTAGCTCGATGTCCGCTGCTGAATTCGTCATTCCCGCCGCCTCTACCCGCATATCTTTCCTCAAACTCGGCATAGAGCACCGCCTTAGATGTGGGTACGGGTCCTCGGGGCCGCTTATCATATACTGAATGGCTATCACTTGATGCCTCACTCTGCCGGACCACCCGGAGTATCGACTTGACGTAGGTATATGTGAGGCGCTGCATTACAGAAAAGCAAGAATGTAGGTAGCAATGGGATGTCTGCCTATGCATACCCCTCACACAAGTATAATAATACTGAGAAAGGACGTGAATAGAATCTTCGAACATTATCTGTCGTGGTCTGAAAAAAAAAATAAAGTCTTAGACAAAAGCTCAAAGTTACCGCTGTTTCTATCATCTGCTACACATCAAAGATCATGGATCCGGTATCTATCGTCGGCATTACTGGGTTCGCTGTAAACCTAGTAGACCTATTGGGGAAGACCATCAAGTCGGTATGTGATGCCTACGATAAGTGGAGAGACGCCGATCTCTTCTTTCTCAGTCTCCGAGCCCAGCTAGGGGCCCTGAAAACGGCTTTAATCTCAATAAAATCGTGGTTGACTTACAACGTCGAAGACGTGCACTACCTGCTGCAAATAGAACTGGGCGAGTCCATGAACTGCTGCCAGGCTCTCATCAGCAAGATTGACGAGTTTATGGCGGAGGTAAACGATGATTCCAGCGGAGTGAACCAGCTTACCTTAAGAGGGAGAGCAAAGATAACGTTTTCTGGGGCGTCGATGGAAGATGTTCTGAAGATGGTGGATAGGCAAACGAATAGCTTAAATTTACTCCTGACTGCCTGTCACTGGTAAGAAATACGAGTACATCGCGTGTTGGTTTGAATGCAGTACTAATTGAATTGTAGCAACACATTATCAGCACAGAAATGTGTCCTCGAGACACCCGAAGTGCGGAATGCACTTAAACGGACAAAGGAGGACACGGCTTCCCTATATGTCCTCCGGGACAGCGACTCGTTTTGGAGTCGAGCTACCAGCCGCATCACCGGTGTATCATCCAAGCTATCGCTCATATTTGACTTTGATCAAGAGTTGTTCAAGTCAAGGGTATATACGTTAGTCCACAGGGAAGCTATGAAGCAGTCAATTCGCCACAGGCGGATATTAGGACAATCATCCGAGGAAAGGGTTTCCGTAGGACCTATCACAGTACGGCGGCGGGTAGGGACTTATTAACTATTGTTCCTCCAGAGACCGAAGCGTTGAGCCTTTTTAGGAGCTGGTTTCCTTCCGAATAACATAATTTCATGCAACTATTTTTGGCATGCCATTCCCGTTTTCTGTTTCTGATCTGCGACATTCTTCGCGTGCATGAACCGACTCTTCCGTTTCCGAGCTTTGATAAACTACAGCAAGATTGATCCTTTCTATACGATGCGGTCTTTTCAATATTGAGTCTGGTCCACTTTGGACTTGACGCTTCGATCTCTTGTGTTACCTATCAGCATGTCGGGTTCGTCTATAATTCGGACTCGGCAAATTCGTGATATTCGGTGTTGGCTCTGCGAGGACTCGGTGGGGATGGATAACGACATGCATATATTTGGAGTCAAAGTTCCCATTGCTAAACACTAGCATATATCTCGAGAGTTAACCGCTGATCTTGGGTAGAAGCTGCCCGGGAAGAAGAACTATAATCATGAGAATGCAGTGTATCTGCAAGCAAATCATATTCAAGGTACAATTCTGAGAGCCATATGTATTTATTACAAAACTAAGCTTTAAACTGAAGTATCCATATATATAACCTATAACTGAGATCTTAAATCTATCTATACTCAACTTAAGCCCTTTTGATTGAACTATAGAAGTTTGGGGTTTCAAGTATAACTCGTCCCTATTGTATCGTAAATTTGAAATAGGAGATGATATATTACATGAAATAACTGGGTCATCGTCCCAGAAGATAATTTTAACATTCAGGACGTAACATTGTAACATGTGACATCTTAAGTAGACAGGGGCCCAATGGCGGTCTGAATACTCTGTAGAGAGAGAATGAATTCTATTCGATGAATAGGTTGGATGGGCGGAGACGAGCCGCTCGAAATGGAGTGTCATTAATTATTATTCAGAGATTTGGATCCAGAAGGTGTTATTGGGTTGTGAGTAAACTTACATTGGTTAAAGAGATAAACGTAACTATGCTAGACTTCTATCCTAATGATATGTGGACATTTTCCTCATATACATAAGTATAAACTTCTTGATCTCTCAAAATAAATCCCCTAGTCGCCAAACTTTACATTGAAAAAAAAATCCTGAAAGGTAGTATGCTCCGAGAGATTTGGTTTAAATGCACACTCTGTAGTGTTACATAAATTTATCTTGAATGCAACGGACCCCCCGGAGTTCTCCTTACGAGGATATTAAAATTTTGAGTAATTCTTTCCGGGTTGCCCGGGATACTTCTCTGACAATGATAGACACCTCCACTCTCCCATAATAACTATAGCAAACTGGAAAGATAAAGAGAAAGCTAGCGAATCGGGTAGATCTGATGTATCAGTACGCAAACGGTACGGGTTCATCGAACCATCTAAGATTTTATTGACTCTCATATGAAGTCTATAGCAACACTGTGCTGACCTACGCTCAATGCTCTCACATTAATAGTCCCCCTTTCCTCGAGACAACAAAGATCTCAACCATCACTATTATGCATCGCTGAATTTCCCCTTGAAGCTATGCGAAGCTGGCAACTCACTGAGTCCGTAAATCATGTGTTACTAGGGAGATTTATTGAATCAAGTCTTATATTGATTATACATATAAAATGCTATGAATCGGTGTTCTCAAAATGTCGTAAATATCATTGATGGTTTAGCATTGTATATTATATTCCATTCACTTCAATATATCATATATTCTTTTGCACCTTAAGACCGTCGTTAACTTAGAACGACGTTGAATACTACCCTAAGTGTCATGAGGTACCAAGCAAGTGTTTGGGTAATCAATACGTTGTTGTGCAAGGAACTATGCTACAACTACGGATGTCACTGTTACTATATACAAGAATCTTTCTTGTCCCTTCTTAACCTCTGACACTGGGTCTAAGTGG